TTTACTGGTTGGTCCCCTACTGGATCTCAGATAATGAAATCATTCTTCTATCATTTTGTTATTATAGTCCTGATTTTATTGTGTATGATTTTATATAACTGTCACCTTACTTGTACATTGAGGAAGAGAGTACAGAAATGAATCCATAATGCAGAACAGAAACAATTAGAAATTCTCCTCTCTGCCACTGTAGAGTATCAACCCATCTTTAAACTGGGCCTTAGGAATTACCACATGGGAATCGAGGTGAAGAAATTAATGAAAGTCCCGCAGGGAGTGACTAGCACCCTTGAAAATACCATGTGGAAGTTTCTCTGTCCTGGTAAGATTTTATCGATAAGATGAGCAATTGTTTTATTGCTCAAAGAGGGGAATGTAAGAATATTAAATAGTTAACTTGTTTATATGTATTTTATGCTTTTATAAGGTTTATAACATGATTATTGCTGACTGAAGGAATATTGAATACTTAAAACTCAATATACGACATAATATGCTGACTGTGACAGACTAAGGTATTTCTTCTATAGGATGTAAGACAATGCTAAATTTCAGGATGTCTTGCCCATTCCGATTTTAAGGTTATTCTTTTCCAGACGTATGCAAAAGCTTATCTTTCCATTGTCAGAATAACGTAATATAAGGAAGTAATAAATCTTATAGTCTGTACTGTATTTGCATATACCATGGCTAATGTAAGCAAACTATGTATAAAAGCCAGCTCTGGAATACACTCATTTGAGAGTCTTGTAAAGCTGTTGTCCGTGTGTTATTGCTTACAATGATCCTCCATCAACGTTGATTATGGTGACCGAGGGATCAAGAACCGAGGGGATTAGAGTCCATTACAACATTAACCCTTTCACAAAGCAGACTTTTGACATAGTATACTGCTTAAAACTAGGGTACACATTACTTCCGTTTGGGATTCAGTTTTTTTTTTCTTCAGGGGTTCTTAATGGCCATTCAAAACCCATGGTATACCAGTCAAATCAGGAGCTAATATTCCACATTTGTACCCAGTACAAAATAACACTAAGCAGGAGTATAGTGTCAGATTTGCATTTAGAAATGGCTATTAATGCTTTTGCAGTGGCAGTTAGTCTGTAACCCTATGGAACAAGCGCAGCTTAGTGAAAATGGGCTTTATAGAGCTAGGAGGCGGGCATAGGGGGAAGGCCCTTTTGGGAGTGGAGTTAGATTGTTAAGTGGTTGGCCCAGTAGAAATAGGCAGTCATTTTAGAAGTAGGCACTTTTAATCTTTTAATGTTAGAAGTAGGCACTTTTGTGTGCAACTACTGCCTGCAGCTTGGGCCTGGTAGGTTTTTTTCTGCTTTTTTTTTTTTGCAGTTTCAAGGCCCAGAGAATAGTTCCAGTGGAGCAGCTCCTGGCTGAAGTGAGAGCAGCGGCGTGGGATCGTGGAACAGTATGGGTGCAGGAGCGCCTGGGACCGGCCATGGCGGGGATCCGGTATGGCAGCGGGAGCGGCCGCTCGGCACGGATGAGCAGACTGTCACAGAGGCCGCGTAGGAGTAGGCACGCAGGGCAGGGCGGGAAGACACTGCCCTCTGGAGCCCTTGGATACGGTGGGGACCGATCCAGTAAGCATGCGCGTGTTGCAGGCCGCACTTCGGATGTTCTGCATGGCGACGATGAGTTCCTGGCGAGGCAGGTGGCCGGGCTGGTCGCACTTTGGGGGGGGTGTGGAATGATGCGGGAGGTGGATGACGCCAGTCTTGGGGGAAGGTGGGCTTGCCCAGAGAGGTGTCAGGTATCCGCAGCGGCCAGGTGAGGGGGCGGGATGCCTCGCGGCCTGGCAGGCGATCCCAGGGGCATGGCAGGGGGGTGTCTGGTGGGCAAGAATGGCTTTTCTCATTGCAGATCATGGAGCTGATCTTCTTCACGGCCATCCAGGCATCGGGGGGCTTCCCCGGTTGGTGGAGTACATGCACGGGCGGTCAGCCCTGGACCCGTCGGATCATATAACGCATCCCAGTGGCCTGCACTGGCTGGGGGCTTAGTTGGTGAGTTGGACACTACACAGCCCTCACAAGGTTTTATTGAATCACTGCAACGCTTAATTGACTCCTGGGGCAAGTGTGGTACTGCAGGGGAAGATGTTGCTAAAGTGTGGGCTCCGGGTTCGGGTGTGTCTGGTGCAGGGAGCTCCAGCGGGTGTTCAGAGTCTGGTGCTGGGATGGCAGCAAAGGTGGAGGTGGCATCTGAGGCGCCAGTGGTAGCATCTGAGGTGGGTAGAGAGAGAGCGGAACTGTCCGGCGGCATTCCTGAGGCAGTGCGGCAGCATGCGTACGTGTCCTTTGTGGGCCCTTTGGGGATGCATTTGATGCTGGCGGTGAAGGAGAAAATATGAAAAGGTGAGTTCTGCAAAATCCTTTTGCTATTGCCGCTGGAGGACTACTTGGAGGGCAAGAAGGACACAAAGAAGGAGGGGTAAGAGAAATGTCCTTCGGGAACTGGCTGCGTGCTTTCTGCATCTTAGCCAATGTTATTGGGGAGAAGTCACCGGGTCTGTGTTCCTCATTATTCTGCTATCTGGATGAGGTGTGGGAGGCCTACCGCACGTACAACGAGCAATTCCGGCAGCAACTTGCTGCAAACCCTGGGATGCGGTGGGACCAGATGGACCTGCCTTTATGGATGAAGCTTATGATGGCACAGACGTCGACACCCTTTCATTCGGCAGCCGGTGCTGGAAGTCAGTCCTCTTCGTCGGCCATGTTCAAGCAAGTATTAAGGCTGGGGGCTC